TCGGTTACATCGGGACGAACAGGCAACCGTGGAACACCGTTCAACAAGAAATTTCCCCTTTCTTCCCTGCACGCGCGCGTTTCCTCGAGAATGAAAGCAGGATAATCGCGTTGATGTGAGAAAAGCTCGCAGAATCTATCACTTCGTGTCAAACTCCTAAGTGGCCGCGACATTTCGACCAAGATTCTTTGAAATTAAATCTCATTCCTAAATTTTATTCGAGCATGTGAATTGTATGAAGAGTCGATCATATTTTCTTGTATGGCCATTGTATGGTCCATTTCTACGTTACCGTATGAGCTTTGTATATTTTTTCGTGTAGTTTATAATTATTGTGGCCTCGATAAAGTGTGGAATAGTCTTTTGTTGGACTTGTAAATTGTGTCTCTTACCTCTAAATTTCATTCCCATGCGTGAAATTATAGGATCGATCATATTTTCTTATATGGCCATTTCTACGTTATCATATGAGCTTTGTATATTTTTGCGTGTAGTTTATAATTATTGTATCCTCGATAACGTGTGGAATAGTCTTTTGTTAAACTTGTAAATTGTGCCTCTTAACTCTAAATTTTATTCCAATGCGTAAAATTATAGGATCGATCATATTTTCTTATATGGCCATTTCTACGTTATCATATGAGCTTTGTATATTTTTGCGTGTAGTTTATAATTATTGTATCCTCGATAACGTGTGGAATAGTCTTTTGTTAAACTTGTAAATTGTGCCTCTTAACTCTAAATTTTATTCCAATGCGTAAAATTATAGGATCGATCATATTTTCTTATATGGCCATTTCTACGTTATCATATGAGCTTTGTATATTTTTTCGTGTAGTTTATAATTATTGTATCCTCGATAAAGTGTGGAATAGTCTTTTGTTAAACTTGTAAATTGTGTCTCTTAACTCTAAATTTTATTCCAATGCGTAAAATTATAGGATCGATTATATTTTCTTATATGGCCATTTCTACATTACCATATGAGCGTTGTATATTTTTTCGCATAGTGTATAATTATCGTGGCCGATTTTTTCGGTAAAATGTAAAATAGTGTTTTGTTGGACTTGTAAATTGTGTTTTTTAACTCTAAATTTTATTCCAATGCGTAAAATTATAGGATCGATCATATTTTCTTATATGGCCATTATCCATTTCTATATTACCGTATGAGCATATTATAGAATTGATTATATTTTTTCGTAATTTACAATCATCGTACGCGATTTTCTTAGGATAAAGGTGCGGAATATTCTTTTATAGAACTTGGATTAAATCGTGTCTCTTAACTCAAAATTCTATTTAAAGAAATTAGTAAAAAGTAAAATTATTGAATCGATTATATTTTCTTACGTAGCCATTATCGTGGTTCATTTCATATGTTATGAAATGCGTTATAGAATCGACTTTTCGCGTAGTTTTCTTGAAAAAAGCATAGAATATTCTTTTGTCGAGAACTAAATCTCACAATTCTAAATTTTATTCGAACACGTAGCATCTACTATACATTTTCTTATATATCCGCCATTATTGTGATCCATTTCTATGTTACCATATGAGCGTCAATTGACTATATTTTTTCGTATAATCCATCGTTATGGCTGATTTCCATGCCATCATATTGCAAAATACGCCAAATATTTCTTCTCTAAAACATTCTCTAAAACTTTAGATAACTTGGATTGCTTGGATTAAATCTCTCGCTCTTAAATTCTTCGAAAACTTAGCATCGACTGTATATGTATATATATTCTTTTTATCATTATCACGATCGGTTTCCACGACCATAGAACACAATGTAGATGAAAAAGCGATCTTTTGAAATTGTGTAACTAGTAAGAGTTGTTTCTCCTCGTGCTTACTATGCACCATTTATCAAGCGAATCCGCTCGATTCGCTGGACAAACTTGGCTGTTTCGTTTTGCTTTATCGGGCACGGATCGATCTCCGGCCGCCATTTTTCTTTTTGTTTCGCGAAGTTTCTCGCGCGGATGGAGACCGAACGACACGCTTTTCGAGCAGAATTTCTGCCTCGATACGTGCTCGTTTTAACTCTTCGTGGATTTTGCATCACGCTTGAGAATTCGTTACGAAAAGGAAGCAATTTCTACGAGCTTGCGACTTGTTACGAGAGATAAATTTATCCAGAAAATTAACTTTACTTCCTTTTTTTTTTTTTTTTTTTCACTTTATTGAATATACAAATTGTATATACAAATACAGTTATCGTCGAGATATCGCGTTAATCTTCGAAATACGAAACATAATCCGATAATCATATAGGGAGCGGCATTTGATAACTTTCTTTTCCCAAAAAAGATAATAGATAATAATTCAATCGTAAATCTACTTTTTCCCCCTTTCTTTCTTTCTTTCTTTCTTTAAAAGAAAGCTTTCGACGAAACTTTCATTACCTCCGAAAAAAAGAAAAAACGAAATAAGAAAACTATACACAAAAGCAATTTACCTTCGATCGAGAAGAAAAAGCGACTTAACTCCCGAGAAACGAGAAAACTGGAATCCAAATTGCACAACGAATCAACTCGCTCAACTGATGATCGTTCTTGAAAAAAAGAAATATATATATATATATATATACACGATAATATCTCTGGACCTTCGTCCCTGACCCGTGGACATCAAAGAAGATGGAATACCCGGGACTCGATTACCATTTAACGTCCCATTTCTCATCTCCGACAAATTTTCCCCGCGTGAATCGCATCCATCCGATGGTATCCAACGTTTCCAACATTCGAGGATAAGAAGAAGATGATAGGCGATGCGGCAGGCATTGCCGCTAAAAATAATCCGTCCTTAAGTGCGGCTGTGAGCGCGCTAACGCGTCGGAAGCGCCAGGTCTTGGCGCGTCTGGAAAAGGGTTGGAAACGAGCAAAAGGAGGAGGAGGAGGAGGAAGGGAGAGGGTGGAGGGAGGCGCGTAAAGTCGGTTGGTAGGTAAAGTGCAAGGGAGAAGGTGAATGGCGTTCGAGGAGGGAGAAACGAGGAGGGAGAGCCGAATTACAATGTAAATGTATTTCCAACGTGAGAATTCAAAAAAGGGAGAGATGATCTTTCGAGATTCGATTTTGCCAATTTATGCCTATGATCACTAGGATTCATTTTACTATTTACAATTGGAGGATTAACAGGAATTATACTTTCTAATTCTTCAATTGATATTATTCTTCATGATACATATTATGTTGTTGGACATTTCCATTATGTATTATCAATAGGAGCAGTC